CAACTTCAGGCCGGAACCAAGCACATGTGACATGGACCCATAGGGAGTCAACATCAGTTGGCTTCAAAGCTCCCCCTGCAGAAGCAGCATTCAAATCTATAAGAATCAAAAAATAGAAAATGAAACTGGGTATTTAACGCATAAATAAGGATATCAATGGGAATGCCTTTAACAAGGCGGAGACAACACTCCTTCTCAACATTAGGAGTTTCGCATGCTCTGCAAACCCATGATGTAAAATCCTAAACATTGTTTGCTCCATAGCACTCTTGATGGACTGCTATTTGACACTTGAACTCAACAAGTTAAAAATAAAATTGACTTAGATGATTCTACTAAAGTTCCTAAATCAGGTGCTATCTCATCTCAGCAAATAAATTGTAATTCAAATGCATAAAATGTGATGATTAAGCATAAAGATTCATGAAGAATAGTAACACCTGTTGCAAATAACAATTTTGTTATAGTCCCAATCCTCAACCCATCTACATACACAGATTTAACACAACTACGAACAAATTTCTTAAGAACAAATTTCTTAACATACATACATACATACATACATACACAGATTCAACAAAAATTCTTAAGAACAAATTCAAACAAATTTCTTAACATACATACATACATACACAAATTTTTTAAGAACAAATTCAACAAAATCAACATGAATCTGATTAACATACATACACACAGATTCAACAAATTCCTTAAGAACAAACACACAGAGAGTGATCGGTGCAGAATAAAATAAACATAATAGATCAGATTCCAAAACAAAACAAACACACAGATTCAAAAACAAACAAAACGGATCTGTTGGTCCAAAACAAACAAACTGAATAGATCTGTTCGATCGGTGCAGAGATAAGAGATCAGGGAGAGAGAGAGAGAGAAAGAGAGAGAGAGGCTTACCTGTGAGTCGATCGGTGCAGAGATGCAAAACCAGAGTGTGAGACTGATGAGATGAGAGAGTGAGGGAGACAGATCAGATCAGAGAGATATCCGATATATATATGTATATATATATATATAAATATATATAAAAAAAAAAACAACGATCGGGGCGAGAGAGAGAAAGATAGAGATTGAGAGAGAGAGTTTATCCGTGAGTAGATCGGCGTTGCGATGAGATGAACAATGAGAGAGTCAGAGAGTGATCGGTGCAGATATGAAGAACAACGAAACGAGAGAGTGAGAGAGAGAGACAGTGATGAGTTGAACTTGAGATGAGACTGAGAGAGTGAGGAGACGATTAGGGTTCTAAGAGATTGGGGATTTTGGGGGGCGCGGGAATGGAAAAAAAGGGGAGGGAACCGAGTGGGCGGGATTGGGAAAAAAAAAATTAAATAATAATAATTTTCATCATAAATGAATATTTAAATAAAAAAATAATAATAATTTTCATTTTCATCATAAATGAATATTTAATGAATGAAAAATTATTATTATTTTTTTTTATTTGGTAGAAGTAAGGATAATATTTTAATGAAAAATATTTTCTATTAAAAGTGATGAGTGAGAGAGAGAGAAGGAGAGAGAGAGAAACAAACAGACAAAGAGAGAAAGAGATAGAGAGAGACAGATAGAAAAAGAGAGAGAAACAAGAGATGAGCGATACAAAAAGAGAGAGAAAGAGCGAAAAAAGATGAATGAGAGAGAGAATAGAAAAATAGAAAGATAGAGAGCAGAGAGATGTGGGAGAGAGAGACAGAGAGAGAAAAAAGAGAAATGAGCGAGAGAGACAGAAAGAGAAAAGAGATGAGAGAGATAGAGAGAAGAGAGATGAGCGAGAGAGACAGAGAGAGAAGACAAATGAGAGGGATTGAGAGAAGAAAGATGAACGAAAGACACACAGACAGATAAACAAACAGACAGAAAAAGAAGAGTGATGAGTGAAAGAGAGAAATAGAAGAATGGTAGTAGTTGAATGACATTTGCAGTAGTGGTAAATGTGGTAGAGAATATGGGTGGTGAGAGAGAGAGATGAGTGAGAGACGAATAGAGAAAAGAGATAGAGAGATAGAGAAAGAGACAGAGACAGAGTGATGAGCGAGAAAGAGACAAAGTAGTCGCTAAAAGTGCATTTTCTTGTGGTGGATCGATAAATCGAAAGAGAGCTCAATAAATAAAGAAGAGATGAGGGAGAGAGTGAGCAAGGCGAACACAGTGGGGGAGAGAGATAGACAGACAGGCAGACAGAAAGAGAGAAGAGTGATGAGTGAGAGAGAGAGAGAGAGAGAGATGGAGAGAGAGAGAGATAGACAAAAAAAGAGAGATAAACAAGAGATGAGCAAGAGATAAACTAAAAGATAGAGAAAGAAAGTAAAAGAGATTAACGAGAGAGACATAGAAAAAAAAAAGAGACAGAGAGAGTGGTAGTGGTAGTGGTCATAGTTCCACCCACTGATTTAAGTATGGTGCTTGTTTTGAGCTTTCAAATCATAATTCTACATCTATTTTTCAAAACTCAATTCAAAATATAATCATTACTTTTCGAAACTCATAATCAAACACATAATTCAAAACTCTTTTCAAAACTTAATTCAAATCAATTTTTTAAATATTTTAAATATTTAAATATTTTAATTTTGTGAGAGACAGATAAAGAAGAGAGATAGAGAGAGAGATAGAGATAGAGTAATGAGCGAGAGAGAGAGAGATAAAATGGTTGCTAAAAGTGTATTTTCTTATAGTGGATCGATAAATCGAGAAAAGGCTCGATAAATAGAGAAGATGTGAGTAAGAGAGTGAGCAAGGCGAACATAGTGAGGGATAAATAGACAAATAGACAAGTAGACAGAGAGAGAGAGAAGAGCGATGAGTGAAAGAGAGACAGGGAGAGAGAGAGAGATAGACAGAAAAAGAGATAGAGAGAGACAAAGAGAGAGAGAGAGAGATAGAGGGAGAGATAGAAAAAAAGAGAGAAACAAGAGATAAGTGAGAGATAGACAAAAAAAGAGAGAAATAGAGCGAAAAGAGATGAGAGAGAGAAAAGAAATAAGAGAGATAGAGAGAAGAGAGATGAGCGAGAGAGACAAAGAGAGAAAATAGATGAGAGAGATAGAGAGAAGAAAGATAGGCGAGAGATACAGAGAGAAAATGAGAGAGAGAAACAGACAGATAGAGAAAGAAGAGTGATGAGTGAAAGAGATAAAGAGAAGAGAGAGAGATAGAGACAGAGAGACAGGAAGATGAAAAAATGAATGAAAACAGAAATGTTATTCAAACCATTTTGTGACTATATATATGAAGCTATCTCAAAACCACAATCACTATGCTAGGTTAGAGTTTTCAAAAAACTCTTTTGAGAAAATTATACTTTCTTATTTTTCGTGTTATATTGTTTTTACTGAATTTTTTTTAATATTTTAAGTATTTTTTTAATTTTTAGACACATCTAACATAAATACACCTAAAAATTAAAAAAGTCGTAAAAAAAAATCTTTTAAAAATTCATTAAATACCAAAAATACAAAAAAAAAAATACAATAATTCAATACATTTTTTTTTTGTATTTTTATGTATTTATTCATTTTTAAAAATATTTTTTCATAAATTTTTTATTTTTTAAATACATCTAAGTAAGGTGCATCTTAAAAAAATATTTAAAATTTTAAAAATATTCACTAAAAAAAAAAAAAAAACACGAAAGTCACTTTTTGCGACGGCAGAAAATGCCGTCTCAAAAAAGCAGAGTATTTGCGACGGCACCATTTGCCGTCTAAAAAAAGCAGAGCATTTGCGACGGCACTATTTGCTATCTCAAAAAATGAGAGTATTTGCGACGGCTTTAAAAGTGACTTTTTGAGACGGCAAGTGTGCCGTCGCAAATAGTTCCGTCTCATAAACCTACTTTTCTTGTAGTGACTATACGACTATATATGATGATGATGAGACCGGCTCGGATGAGTCGTGTGTCACTTTTGTGTTAGTTGTCATCTTTTTTGTTTTAATTGTTAACATGTTTTACATCTTATTATTAGTATTGATTATTTGTTTTTTTTTTCTTCTTGTTATTTAACAGGAATTCAAGTTGAAGGAGATGATGAAAGTTTTTTTGGACAAACAATCTTGTTTTTTATATTGTAATGGATTTGTTTTTTTGTTTTTTTTTTAAATTTTATTTTTTGGGTGGCCTATCCCATGCAGGCTGTGCTTGGGACTAATTATTATGTTTGCAACCTGTTGAATTTTCCTTTCTGTGAGCTACTAGACTGAATATGCTATTTCAGTTGACAGATTATGGATGCTGGATGGAATCTATCAACTTGTTGAATTTTTTGGATAGATTATGCTATGCTATTGACAAATTATGTTGCTATTGAGTTTATATTGACAGATTATGCTATGCTATTGATAGATTATTTGAAAATATGTACAGATTTTTTAATTTGCTATTTAGTTTAGCTTGACAAATTATGTTGACAAATTCTCCTAATGGTTTTATTGATAGATTACGGATTATGCTATGCTATTGACAGATTATTTGAAAATATGAACAGTTTTTTTAATTTGCTACTGAGTTTAGCTTGACAGATTATGTTGACAGATTCTCTTAATGGTTGTATTGACAAATTACAGATTATGCTATGCTATTGAAAATATGTACATATTTTTTAATTTTAAAATATGTATTGATTATTTGAAATATGTACAGATTCTCTTAATATGTACACTCTCTTAATAGGATGTTTAAAATTTTTTAAAATATGTACAAATTCTTTTAATTTTAAAATATGTACAGATTCTCTTAATAGGATGTTTAAATTTTTTTTTTTGAAAAAAAAAAGAAAAAAGATACTATAATTCGGGGATTTGCGGGGTCAGGGATACCCGATCCCCGATCGGGGGCAGGGACGATGGGGTCCCCGCCGGGGATTGGGGGCAGGGATGGAGAATTTCTCACTATCGGGGATCGGGGACGGGGAGTGTGGTCCCCGGCCTTGCCCCATTGCCATTCCTACACCAAACACCTTCATTCTCAAACTAAAAGCTGA